CTCTTCAGTGTGACTAAGAGGTTCGCTGTGCTCCTATAACACCTTCTTTCCTGGTACTCACTGCACTGGAGTCTTTCTATTCATAAGCACTCTGACCCCAAATAGGAACTCTGCGTTATTCATCTTTGTATTCCTAGGGCAATACTTGACACAGATTAAGACTCGATACAGGTTTCTTGAACTTGACTAAAATGGAACAGATGATCTTTCTTCATATCCTTTCTTAATGATGCAAGGCTAAATTCCCATCATAAGATAACAGCTTCCTAATTACAGTGCTTTGGCCTTTTATTTTTTGTTTTTGTTTTTGTTTCTGATCTTTAGCAAAGTTTCTCAATAAAAATGTCATATTCCAATATTCCCCCATGGAGGTCCACATCATAATTTAGAATTTCAGCGTTAATTAACGAGTCTGTTTTCTTAAGGCACTGTTTCTGTGACAGCTTCCTTCATGAAAGCAGGAATTATTTTTTATTTTGGCAGAAAAAGTCTAACAGAATCTATTAAGACTGGCCATGTATGTATGAGGTTATGATGTCATAACCTAGTAATGGACTTGTTTGGAATATAACATCAAGTCAGTAATTCAGACAAATACCTACTTATAGTCCATGAAATGTATATGCCTTCCAGCTTCATTGTAAATAATAACCCAGTAACCACTGCATTTTGTGTGCGACATATGGCACTGCGGCAGGGAAGTATTCTGTGTGGTAAAAATTAAAGAAAAAAAAAAGGTCATTCACAATAAATACTTACCATCTGCTCCCAAGCAGGGTTGCAAGCAGCATCATGATGGAAATTTCAGTACTGTTCCCACCCAGCCATAAATTGTTAAAGAGAACAGATGATATGTGATTTTACAAGTCACTTAGTAAACAGCCATTTCTGAGGCAAAAGGTTTATTTCTATTGGGAGTTCTCTGCCACAGGGCAAGAAACTGAACCATAATCCAAAGTCAAAATAGAATTATCCTTCTGCTTTCATTTTCAATGTCAGAGGCCACACTGGTGAATCACTCCAAATGTCTTCAATTGGATTGCCCATTCTCATGAATAATACATTCAGCTGCACCTCAAAGTAAAAGATGGTCAGACTGAAGTGCTAAAAAGGAAATAACATCATAGTGTAGTAAGAAGAAAACACTGTAAGCAGTGTATAGAGAGAAAGAGAGAGAGAGAAAGAGGAAGGAAGGAAGGAAGGAAAGAAGGAAGGAAGGAAGGAAGGAAGGAAGGAAGGAAGGAAGGAAGGAAAGAAAAAAAAAGGAAGGAAGGAAAGAAGGTAGGAAGGAGATAGATGTGTGTGTGAGAGACAGAAAGAAGTATATAAGATTGAAAGATCGTACACTGAAATCGGATACTCATTCTTTGAATGGTAAAATTACAAATGAGTTTTCTTTCCATCCTTGTGAGTCTCTGAATTTCAAGGTTTCCTGCAATAAACATGTATTTCTTATATAATCAGATAAAGTATGTTATATTTTTAAGAAATCATATCAAAAGCAAGGAACTTAAATGCTTCAAGATGTTAGGTTCCAAGAATTGGGAGAAATGTTTGTATGGGGGCTGGGAAAGTTTGAAGGATTTTGAAGCTAACTCTGAAGAACCAGATATAGCATATAATTAAGACAGAGGAGAAAAGTTTATGTCAATCATGAAACGCAACAAATGGGGAAGTAGCCAAATCAAAATATGCATACGTGTAGGGAAGATAAGCTGAGATTCCTTTCTTTAGAAGCATGTTTTATTTTAAACCAGAGCAATATTATTAAATTAGATAATCAACCTTATTCACCAAATTTGGCTGTAAGTGACTATGGGCTTCCTTTACAAATTGAGCCCATTCTCCAAAATAAAAGAATTACTACTTTTGAGAATACTCCATTATGTTGCAGGGTCCTAAGACAATTCCAATTGAGGAGTTCTCAAAAAAGTTTTGAGTAATGTCAGCACACTGAAAAGAATATTACTCATTTTTATGTGTGTCAAATTATCAAGCAATTTGTTTTTATAGTCACATTCTGTAAGCCCTGAAAGCCAATGAAGACAGACTTAAACTGAATGGCTGTATTTTTATGACCACACTCTTGTTTATCACTGCTCGCAGAAAAGCTCTCTTAGACTTTAGTTTTTGTGCACAGACTCGGGTCTCTTGTTGTTCCAAACTTTAGTTGATTCCTCCTCTTGGTTTCCTACTATGTGAACCATAACCAGTACTTACCAGTTGGTGGTCTTTGCTTCTTTAATGTTTTGTCAATGCTAACAACTTGAAGGGACCCTGCTGCTGAAGGGGGCCTGGGAGAACAGCCACAGGAATCATGTCTACGACACTCGGATTCTCCCACAAGGCCTAGAACAATAATACTATGCACACAGTGACATCTCAATATTGATTTTGGTTGAATGAGTGAAAACAACTCTTCGTTCCCATTACACAACCTACTGTTTAGTGGAATTCAGAATAAGAGGGTTCCACTTAGCACAGAGTTCTGAAAGAGTGGTTTTCCCCAGAGACTGTATCATAGCCTGAAATGAGAGCCACATGACAGGGTTTTAGTACAGGTAGTACAGTGCAGGAAAGGGCATTCATTTCTCTTCACTATAATCTTCCATCTCCTGTTCCTGATTACTTTACATTTGAAGATACTAACGTCTTTATTTGGCTTCTGAAATCAGGATCATCTCATGTATACATATTAATGTAAATCTATAGCTTCCCTGTAGAAGTTTGTATCTTTAGGAAGCAAATATGTGTAAAGTTCATGTTCCCTAGCTAAATATAATTTATTGTTTTGCATCTTCAGTTTCTGTTTTATCTTAGGAAATGTGTTTTCCCAATGGTAGATTGGTCAGAAAATGCTGACACAAAAGAGAACCACTCTGGGAATCTGCAAAATTAAGGTTGGTTTGCCAGTATCCAAAATAGCTTTAGCATGGCATCAATCATTCAAGGTATTTCAAAGGGAGAAGGAACTTGGGCAACCATTCATGCAGTCAACCTTTTTATAGCAAAGGTGAGGAAAGTGAGACCTAAAAGTTTAAATGACTTCTGAAGAACACTTAAATAATTATTGACAAAATCAGGATTTAACATAGTGATAACTGATAATGACTACTGTGTAATCATTACATCATATTATTCCCTATAATGAGAGATAAATAGTACTTTAAAAAAAAAAATCAGAACCGGGGCACCTGGGTGGCTCAGTCGGTTAAGTGTCTGCCTTCGGCTCAGGTCATGATCCCGGGGTCCTGGGATCAAGCCCCACATCGGGCTCCCTGCTCAGCAGGGAGTCTGCTTCTCCCTCTCCCTCTGCCCCTCCTCCCTCTGCCCCTCACCCCGCTTGTGCTCACTCTCTCTCTCTCTCTCTCTCTCAAATAAATAACTAAAATCTTAAAAAAAAATAATCAGAACCTTTGAGATTAGGTTATTACTGAGCAAACCATCCATAGCCTTTTCCATTTTATTAATTCCTTGAGAGTAAGAACTGTATCTTATACATATTTTTTCTCTCTTATATTAAATATATTATCTAACAGTATCTCTCAAACAAGAATTTGTTGATTGATTACTTGATTAACTGAGTACAGAATTAATATATAATTAGACAATTTTAGCTTATTATAGAGATAATACTATAGTTACACAACAAGAAACTATTCTGATATAGAAAATTATACCACATACATTTTTGGGGAGGTAATATGAATGATCAAATGCATATATTTTAGAGTTCCAGCTCTGCTATATAAAAACTTTGGACCATGGAAAATTAATTTTTAAATGTCTCTTCCTTCATCTTATAGTGAGAATAATAAATTCTACCTCATGTGGTCGCTTTAAAAATTAAATGTGGTTGTCTGTGTAAGTACTTAAAGTGCTTTCATATGGAAAGTAGCCAACAGATGTAGGTGATGATCAGCTGAAAACTGAACACAATCATGTCCAAACCTTAGTTTTTAGAATTTAAACCAGGATTTAGACTGGACAAGAAAGACTTTATCTAGCTCGGAAATTTTTTCAGTCTCTGTCTTTATTTTCTGAAGAAAGCAATGGGAAATACATCTTCATCTACAGGCAATCTGGTGCCATGGACATAGCAAAATGCCACAAGAAAATTGCATTAAGGAAAAACACCATGGGATATCCATGATTAAGTAGTTTATGATGATCAATGAATATTTGTTAATGATAATGAAGATGTATTTTTTCCAAACAGGATTCTAAGCTTGGTTTGCAGGGAAAAGTTTTTTTAAATTCTTTAAATGTTAATGTGTCATGAAAATACGGGACACTTCTGTATCTATTTGCACAAATCTGTGCTCCATGTGAAACTATTTTATTAATATTTGCATGACCTATCTTAGTACTATAAAGAAAAACAGATAATACTCAAAGTATGAGAAAATAATGGCCATAACCTATTTCTAATATGCTTTCAAGTACAATTATGGTTTCAGAAAGATGGTACTTGTCTAACACGATTGCAGATTTATCAATACATTAATTACTCAAAAGCTTAGCATACGTGCTGGAGGGGAGAGGGGTGGAGGGATGGGGTAACTTGGTGATGGACACTGGGGAGGGTATGTGTTGTAATGAGCACTGGGTATTATATAAGACTGATGAATCACAGACTGGTACCCCGAAACAAATAATATATTATATGTTAACTAATTGAATTTAAATCTTTAAAAAAGTGATGATGAATAAAAAGCTTAGCATACAGTTATGATGGCAGTGTCTCTAAAATTATATACTAAGTTTCAAGGCTTTTACTATCTCAGATAAGTTCAATCACATCTCAAATAATTTCCATTGTCATGGATATCAGAATAACACATTTTTAGTCTTCACAATTTATTGGGAATCTAAATGAGGACCTATTTGCCCAAGTTTAACTTGAAGACTTTCATGGAAAGTAAAATGCTCTCCCAAACTCTATAACTATGTTGTGATTCTTTATACCATCCCTTTGTTTCTTTTTTCTATCAATGCAGATGGACCTTATGGACTTCGAGTTAATTCTGACAAAGGGCTAAAAGTAGGGGAAGTGTTCACTGTTGACATTGGAGAGGCCATCTTGTTTTATTGTTCTGCTGATTCTTATCCCCCCAACACCTACTCCTGGATCCGGAGGACTGACAATACAACATATGTCATTAAGCACGGGCCTCGCTTGGAAGTTGCATCTGAGAAAGTAGGCCAGAAGACAACTGACTATATGTGCTGTGCTTACAACAATGTAACTGGACGGCGAGATGAAGCTCATTTCACAGTCATCATCACTTCTGTAGGTAAGTGTGACATAAAAAGCAAGGATCCCAAGGAAACACAAATGCAAGCTAGCCTTGCTCTAGCCCCATTTTATATCTATGTGGAAGAGAAAACTATTGTGGATTGTTGAGAAACTCTAAGAAACTCTCTTTCCTGAGTTGATTAATCCATGGCTTCTATGAGTCAAAGAAAGAAAACCCAAAACAGAATGGAGAGAGAATTCAATTGCTAACTGAGGGACCATGAAGAAAAAGAGAATTCAATAAATTACTTAAATATGCATTTATGCTTTCCTGATTTTAAAATCAGGAGTAGAAGAGAAGCAGTCTACTCATTTAAACTGGTTTATATTTGCTATTGCATTAGCTCGGGTGAATAAATCTCCATGAGTTGGAAATCTGGTTTTCCTACTATCTGATTTGACTCCTCTTCTCACTGTCCTTCATGGGCCTCCCTTCCTCTTTCATCATTTAAACACCTGAAATCTGGAAGTTCTTAACAGGAGTCTCAACACCTTGGAAACTATAACATTTTGTAAGTCTTTGAAATCTGACATTCTCTAGAAATCATCTGATTTTTATAGAAAGCTCATCAATCCACAAAAAGTTAAGTATCACTACCTAAAAATGTGTGTCCACCAAATTCTCATCCTTTTGAGCCTTCTCTTCTCTCTCTCTAGAATAATTTTACTTTCCTATATAATTTCATTCACTCCCATGGTTTCATGTAACACTGGTGCATCCCAAATCCATATCTTTAAAGCTCTAAAACTGTATACCCGGTTGCCTTCTGGGTGTCTCCAAGTTGAAATGCCAGAGGCAGCATATAAGTCAAACATACCAAAACTGAACCATCTTCTTTCCCCCCAAATTACTATTCTTTCTGTATTCCCTATTTAAGTGAATGGTTTTACTATCTACCAACCTGAATCAGGTAGCTAAATGCCACTCCAGACCCCTTTCTCTTGCTTATTGCCCTGTCCAACAACCAGTCACCAAGTTTATCCATTCTCCTTCTTTCCTACTTCTCAAACCCATTTCCCTTCTCCTTCTTTCTCAAATTCTTCTCCTCTCCCTATCCCTCTCCCTGTTCTCCTCCTCATCCCCCTCTTCCACCTTGTCCTCATCTTCCACCTTTTTCTCCTTTTGCTTCTTCCTCTACTACCAGTACTTCTGCTAGTATCAGGTCCTTCCTGGACTTAGCATTGCATACAAAGACAAGTCAGTATCCACCTGGGGAACACCTGAGAGCAGGTTTGGAATGGTGGCTAGGGTGCCTATTAGTGGTGTAGGGACAAGTATGCAAAAGGGTACCACACATCAATACTTTCTCCTTTGATAACTTCTCTTCCTCTGCCTTTATAGCCCTAGTGCCTAGATTAGGGCCCATAATATAGAAAGAGTCAATATGTTTTTTTGAATAAATGAAGCAAGAATATAATCCTTGTAATTCTTAGGCTAAATTTTTCAATATGTGGCCCTTGGGCCATGTGCATCAAAATCACCTGGGGAGGTCTACTAATGTATTTTCATTAAGATACCTCAGACCTATTGGGTCAGGATCTTGAAGGTAGGATCTAGGAATCTGAATATTTAACAGGCATAAGTATGGTAATTATGTGTTAAAGGTGTTTTGTTTTTTTTCTCCTCTGTAGTCTTTTGAACTTATTAAAAAGCCACCAAGAATTATAAGACTATAACAAATTACAAACTGATGAAGACATATATAGTGGATAGAATCCTCCCAGGATTCCTTAAAATTGAGAGTATTCATGTTTGTGAAATCCTCTGAATATACTGGAATTTATATACTGGCATGGTGAGGTTTTGTTTTTTTATATGAGGAAAATACAACACTCTCTAGAAAAGTGCTATCCAGGGGTGCCTGGGTGGCTCAGTCAGTTAAGCATCTGCCTTTGGCTCAGGTCACAATCCCAGGGTCCTGTGATTGAGCCCTGTATTGTGTTCCCTGCAAATCGGGGAGCCTGCTTCGCCTTCTCCCTCTGCCCCCCAATCGTGCTCTCTTTCTCTCTCTCTCAAATAAATAAAATCTTAAAAAAAGAAAAGTGCTATCCAATAGAACTTTTTTCAGTGAAGGAAATATTTGATATCTGCTCTAGCCAATATGGTAGCCACTACCTTCACCTGGCTTTTGAGCACTTCAATTTAGCTATGCAACTGAGGGACTGAATTTATTTTATTAATTTTAAATTAAATAGCCACATGTGTCTGGTAGCTACCATATGGGACAATGCGTCTCTAGAATTTTTACTGAATTATGTGTCATTTGGGCAGTGGATAATATATTTCCCTTATTGCTCTCCAAAGCATATATGTGTGTAGGGTGCTATAAATCAGACACTCATTTATTCATTATTTAGCACCTATTATGGGCCAAATACTGGGATAAGCATTGAGAATGCCAAGTGAAAAAAGAAAATCCTGCTAACAAAATGATCACAACCTAATATGGGTAGCAGGCATGTAAACAGCTAAGGTGCATCCTTTGCTTTCTATTTTACTAAAATTTTAATTGGCTTAACCAGCTTTTTACCTCAGTGGCTAACCAAAACATAATTTTAAAGCAAGCCATAATTAAGCATATAAAGTCATTTAGTAGCAATCTGGTTGTCATGTTAGACTTGTTCGTCATGCTCATTGCAAGTGAAAACATCGCTATAATATGTACTTGTATATCCCATTGAAAACTTACTGCCTGAAATTTCCCCATTAATATTTAGCCAAAGTATTTTCATAATATCAGAAGCCCCCAATATTGGATTAAGATCTTATTACCAAGGCCCAAAGACAGCTACAGTCTTTATATCAAATAATTGTCTTTTGCAAAGTATAAAAAAACCTGTTTGACCTGTACAAAGACCAGGTATTTGTTATTATAGTAAATAAGAAGAGCAGGTGCTTAATTTTCAGAGGGATTCAGAGTTGTCAACATTAGTGACCTCTTTATGGTTTTTAGAGCTGTTTTTCAACCCCCATATGTCCACAGAACTTTATTATTTTTTTTTAAAGATTTTATTTATTTGACAGAGAGAGACACAGCGAGAGAGGGAACACAAGCAGGGGGAATGGGACAGGGAGAAGCAGGCTTCCCACTGAGTAGGAAGCCCAATGCAGGGCTCGTTCCCAGGACCCTGGGATCATGACCTGAGCCGAAGGCAGACGCTTAACGACTGAGCCACCCAGGCGCCCCCTCCACAGACCTTTAACTCAAACAGCAGCAAATGGCAAAGTAAATGAATAGTATGTCTTAAGTATCTGATTTTTTTTAATTTTCCAAATTAATGAATCTCTGCAATGGAGATTAAGTGTACACTAACCTACAGTGAAAAAATGAACATCACCAGTTGAGCCCTGACTGACCATCCACTCTGATAAGCAAGCAATCTATATTAAGATCAGTGAAATGGGGCACTTGCCTCCCTTGACAGTCTTGATTGAGAATATCAACAAGACTATGGTCTTTCTAAAACATAGATTGCATATACAGGATACTGTTTATTTTCTCATCACCTTAACTAATTTTGTGCTATATACAAAGAGATACTCTGGTTTGTCCATGACATGTGTATGTTTTCATATTAATGGGAAATTACGAAGCCTGTAACTAAAAATCATATCTAGAATATAAGTTTCAAGGAAAGACTAGCAATTAAAATAATCAATTACCACTTGTATTTTGAAAAAAAATCAATGATTTTATTTCTTTGATTAAGGACTTCCTTGAGTGCAGGTGTCCATGCTTTAAATTTTAATGGGGTCTAAATCACTACTGTAACATGCAATATATAGAAAATGAAAATGTTTATATCAGAATTCAAGTGTTCACGTTTAGTGAAGACATTCAAATATATAAATTATTGGAGTTCCCAAGAGCCACATGGCTGTAGTTTGAGATTTAGATATAATAGAAATGTCTCAAATTTGCAGGTGATACTGAGAAATCTATCATTTTTTATATTTATTTCTATTGTACATCTTTTCATATGGAAGAGAAAAAGAAAGTGACCCAAAGCAGGAAAATGAATTGACTCATTTCTTCTATCTAGAAGTTTCTCCTGTTTAAGATCTTAAGGAGATGTATTTCACTTTGGGCCACTGGAGAAAACAGCTGAGAAAGAACTACAGCCCTGACATCCAGACCCTAAGACCATAGGTGACATCCCCATGAGCATCTAGCACAGAATAACTGTCTATCAGGTGGGGCCATGGAGGAGTATGGAAATAGCACACCCCCCAGTATGGTCCTTTCATCTCCATAGGGACATGAATCAGCTACCATAATCAGCAAACAGATTGGATGGGAGAGATCTCAGAACTCCATTCTGATCTAGGAATAGAAATGCAGACTGGGGGGTGGGGGGGTGCGCCTGGGTGGCTCAGTCGTCAAGCGTCTGCCTTCGGCTCAGGTCATGATCCCAGGGTCCTGGGATCGAGCCCCGCATCAGGCTCCCTGCTCTGCCGGCAGCCTGCTTCTCCTTCTCCCACTCCTCCTGCTTGTGTTCCCTCTCTTGCTGTGTCTCTCTCTGTCAAATAAATAAATAAAATCTTTTTAAAAAGAAGGAAGGAAGGCAGGCAGGCAGGCAGACTGGTAGCATATGGCTGCCCTGTCTTGGGTGCAGTCTCTCAAACAGCAGGGCTGTGATACCATGGATACCACACCTCTTGCCCATATTTGCACTTAATATATTATTTCATTTTATTTGTTTGCCTAAGGAGGGGGCAAATAGCATTTGCACTAGGGCTTTGGTAAATGAGTCAGTCATATTTAAATAATGAAGAGAATGGCATGCTATGAGCTGAACAGTAGAAAACTCTCTGAAAGAAAGAATGGGGCTCCTGCGAGTGTCCAGAACTGCATTCAGAATTCCTATACATTCTCTGTAGCAATAGGATCAGAATTTCTCAAGTTGGGGTCTGGAAGTCCATCTCTCCAAAATACACTTGCCTAGAGCTGAGACTGCAGCAACTGTGCCCCTTGATTTGATCCTTGACATATTTGG